CAAAAATCGGAGATCACCAAATTCGATCTCCATAACTGTACTAAAAAATTGGGATAGTTTCGTTCAGAGATTATTTTTCAATTCGGTTCGATTCGGTATTCGGGACTATTCAAATGGTTCGGTTCGATATGGTTCGGTTCGGATCTTCGGAGATTCCTTATTTTTTTTAATTCTTTTGAATGACTACCGAGTTATATTTTAATTTTTATATGTTTTAAAAAAATTCACCAATACTTCATCATATCGAAGATTTTAATTTGAAATCAACTTTAAAGTAACTCTAAATTTCAGTTATTTAATTTTTATATGCTTTAAAAAAAACCAACATTCGTCAACACTTTCTCATACTAAAAATTTTATTGTGAGATCAACTTTAGAAGTAACTCCAAATTTTAGTTATGACTAAATTTGTGCAACTAATAGTGAAAATTTAAAATTTAAACAAAATATATTATAGTGTTTTCTTAAAAATTATTCTTTAACCTTTCATACCGTTTTAAATAATTTTTTTATACCAGAAAAAATTCAATTGTAGATCAAGTATTACTAAGCATAAAATTTAAGTGAAGCTTAATTGTTATTACTATATTTCATTTACATTTTAAAAATTCTCAAATTATATAAGATCAAATTGACATAAAATAATCAATAACACACATCTAATGTTATAATTCAGTTCTTAATTTCGATTCTTCAGTTCGGTACGGTATGAGACGGTTCGGTTGGGTTCGGTTCTCGGTACGGATATTTGTGAAATATCCAGCTCCGTACCAATTACATTTTCAGTTCGGATCGGTTTGAAGAAAGTCGAACGGCCAACGGTTATTTTTCGGTTTGTAGTGATTTCGGTTTGAAATAGTTCGGAATTCCTAGAGTCTGATGCTCAGCCCTAAGTCTTTAGGGAGTCCCCTATAAAATCATCTCAAAGATTCTGGCTTTTATATTCAAAAATTGCTTAAATTCTTGTATCACTGAAAACCAAATAGCCTTCATTCCTGGCAAGCAGGTGATGGATAATGTGGTTATTGCTCAAGAAGCTATTGATTTTCTAACTAGATATAGGACATAGAATAAATACTTCCTGGCCCTCAAACTTGATATGGCTAAAGCATTTGATAAAATTGAATGGGCTAACATAAATAAGTGAATGCTGAAAATGAGTTTTTATGCTTAATTTGGGCTAACATAAATAAGTGAATGCTGAAAATGGGTTTTTATGCTTAATTTGTTCATTGGATCATGGCCTGTGTGACTTCTTCTAGCTTTTCTTTCAATATCAATGGCAATTAGTTTTGTCTCCCCTTCTAGGATCATTAGGCAAAGAGATCCTATTTCTTCCTACATTTTCATTATTGTTGTTGATCAAATTTCATGAAATTTGATCAACAATTGTGGTTGACCTCTTTTCTGATCTTATTAGAAAAGTCTCTTGTTGACGGACGTTTCCGGTCAACGGTTTAAAAGTCAAATAATGTAAAGAAAACGAAGAAGAAACAAGGAAAAACGGTCTAATTACGATTTTATTAATGGATCACGAGTTCGGCCTCTCGTACGAGGTCGGCACTTATGATGTACTTATATTGCTTACAAAGATTTCTTACAAGTTCTTTAGAGAGAGAAAATATGGGCTCGAGTAGTTGGGATTTCAACAACCCAAAAATAAATGAGGGGGTTGCTATTTATAGGTGGCTTTAATGCGGTACTGTTTGGGTACTGTTCAGCGGTCTTGTCGCACAGTAGCTCAACGGGACAAACCGGCGCTCCTCTGACTGATTGAGAGTAATTTCCGGATTCACCAATCATCACCTGCCGTACATTTAATGCGAATGTGGGCTGCATTAAATGCGGACACGTTCTGGCTGAGTTGGACGTCCCATCGGCAATCATGCATAGACAAGTGGCATTATTTTATTGTGTCCGTCGTCATACTTCTATCAGGAGTCGCCCTCGCGGGGCTGGGAATAAGGTGCCGATCTCGTAACCACACGGATTCGGTGCCGATCTCGGAACCGGTTCTCCCCACCGTCCCAGACGACTTTGACTTTCCTTCAGCTCGGCACCCACGTCCGGTTTTGGTGACCGGCTCCTTCAGCTCGGACCGGTACCTACGTTGGGTCCGGACTCGGATATCAACATCTCTCCTGAAGGGATTTTTAAAGGGATTAAACTCTCCAGAAATTGCCGATCCCTGACCCACCTTTTCTTTGTTGATCACAACATTCTTTTCTACCAAGCTAAACCTCAACATGCCTATTTTATCCTTCAAGTACCTCACACCTACGAGCTTTTCTCAAGTAAAAAAGTAAACTTGGAGAAATCTTCCATCTTTTTTAGTAAAAACACAGTACACAGCAAACCACTTGTAGTATTCTCAATGGCATACAAGTCAAACACTCCCCCAAATATCTTGGCCTCCCTCTAAACATTAACAAATCCAAAAACAAACTTTTGCTTTTGTGACTAATGTGGTTAGAACTAGAGTGCTCAGTTGGAAAAATAAGTTCTTCTCAAGCATGTGGGGAAATCTTAATAGAGTTTGTTCTTAGTGCTCTGCTTGTGTTTGTTATGTCATGTTTCACCCTTCTTGTTGTTGTTGATGATGCTATTGCTAAGCTAATTGCTAGTTTCTTGTGGAGTAAGGGCGATAACTGTAAGAAGGGTTTACACTTGAAATGCTCGAATCACATCTCCCTTCCTCTTGAAGATGGGGGCCTTGGTTTCCCAGATCTCAAGCTCTTTAATGAAGCACTCATTCTTAAGCAATTATGGAGATTGTTAACAAAGACTATGTTTGGTAAGCCAAATAAGCTAGCTTATAGCTTATTTGATTAGCTTATAAGCTCCCTGTATTCAAATAAGCCTCGTTTGATAAGACGAGCTTTTTTAAAAAGCTCGAGCTTATCTCATAAGCTACTTTAGGTAGCTTTTCAAATAAGTTAGTTAAATTTTTTATGTCAGCTAGCTTATCAGCTAATTTTTACCAAACACTTCTATCATATAAACTAGCTTTCAACTAAAGTCATAAGCTATAAGCTATAAACTCAAAAATTATATATAGCTATAAGCTAGCTTATCAGCTAATTTTACCAAACATAGTCAAAGCCAAATTTACTTATGAGCAAAATTCTCAACTGCAAATATTTCCCTAAGCAGCTCTTAGCTTTGGGGGAGTTGGATGAAGGCATGTTCTTCTTTGGAGAATGGGCTCAGAAATGAAGTAGGAGGTGGTAAAACCACCAAAATATGGAAGCACCCTTGGATCCCATCAATGAAATCTCTCAAACCCCAACACCGTGAAGTCAGTCAGTCTAACCTTACTTGGGTCTATCAGCTCATTGAGTCAATGGTTGCAATTGAATTAATATATAAGTGGGGCAAAGAAAAATATATAATTTGCTAATTATCACTATGGCATTGATACAGTCTAAGGATTTTTAATTTATCTTTTTTTGTCTAAAAGAATAATTTTGTGTTTATTACTTTTGTCTAAGAGAGATACAAAAGGTAAAAATATGTCTTGTACGAAATCTGTAATCTTCATATGTCGAATAAATAATAGTCTCACTTTTAACCAATGTATTATAAACTATATTTTGTGTGTTTTTTTTTTTTTAAACGATAGATTATATTTCTCAAAAGAGTGACTACAAGATAGATCCCGAAGGCTAAATAGTAAAACGGAACCACCAAAAGGTGGAATCTTGAAAGAATACTAACAGAAGTATATCAAGAACTAAAACTAAAACACAAGGAAGAGGAATCCAAGTTTTGACAGAGGCAAAGAGTGCTGAAACCGGACGCTGGACGACTAACCCCGCACAAAAACTAAAAACTCCCCTAAGGGAGGACTACCTATTTCAACAAGTGGAGAATACCTACTCCAACCAGTGGAGAATTCACGCTAACTAAACACACCTAAACTAACTATAAACTACCACCTCCCCTACTCACCGCGAGCAACCCGCAGCAGAAACCCATACTAGCACACAAGCCAAAAATTGCACAAAACAAACCCACGATCAATACCTAAAGAGCTACAGAAAAAGATCTCATAACTAACAACTCCACGTAAAGCGGCTAGAAAGAACCGGTGGGAAAGCAAGCCTTAGTCCAGATATGAGCTCCCGAAGTTGCCAAACAAGGGAAGAAGAGGGCCCGAGGAGATCGGCTCGAAAAGATGGGTAGGAAGAACCCAAGTCCGCGCACTTTGAGGGCGATTGACCCGGTGGCGAAAGCCAACTGGGAGGCCACCAACCTAAAAAAGACGATGAACAGCGACCAGAAAACATTCATCCGACCAGCACGAGACAAGAGGCGGCAAGACGAAGCGGCTGCCTACAACCAAGCCGAAGAAAGGGTTGCACGACGCAAGGCGCCACAGACTCTCTCCCGCAAATGGCAGCGGCCGAAGATAGTGACCTAGAGGCACGGTGCGAGGAGGGCGGGCAGGACCTCCTGCCTCAATCGCAGTCGAAGGTGAGGGGCGGCGGACTAAGGGCTGTGGGCTACCGACGGGAGAAGGCAGGGCCGCAGTTGGAAGAAAAGGAGGTCTTTAGGGCAGAGAGGCAATTATTTTTTGTGTTATTTACTTACAAATTTACCGAAATAATGTATCTCTGTGCATTGCACTGGATACATTCTAGTTTTAAAAGTCCTAATACGCATGATAGAAATTTAAAACTATATGGACAACTCTAACGTACCAGAAAATTGACATAAAATTACAAAGCACTAAAAACCAACACCTACATTTACAAACGATTATTAGTTGACACATAAATTTGAAAAACATATTTAATAAAACTAAGTGATAGTAAATGTGAAGTAGTGTTAGTTTGATCCCTTGTGGTCAACTATTTGTATTAATTTGAACTACCTCTAGTGGTCAACTATTTGTATTAATTTGAACTACCTCAAACTTCATCTTTCTTCCGATAAAAGGTCACACGCAAAATTTGTTTAAAGATAGATATTTCAGCTAATTCCCAGAACAACGCTGCAATTAAACNTAAAGCCACCAGTAAATAGCAATCTTGAAATGGTAAAAACGAAAGCCCCGCCCCCACAAACCTTAAAGAAAACCCAATATTCAATATCATGTACTTCTCAGTTTCTCTAGTACAACATTCAAACAACGAATATGGAAGATCCAAAAAAAAAAGTGTGAAACGAGATTGGATATATAATATTTCTGCTACGAAAACACCGTCAGCTGTACTGCCACAAGTGCAGCCAATATCTGCGTGAATTTTTCAGCTATACTAACTAATGAAAGCACCACCTGCCTCTTTTTACATGCTTTGCTAGATTCCATCTTCAATACTTCCCAGAGTTTTTGTACTTTTTCAAGTAGTCATAAACACATAAGCTTATAGGGGCATCCAGTGGTTGAAATTTTCGGCAAAAGAAAAGAAAAGAAAAGAACAATGGCAGCTGGATCAGAGAAAGTAATCTGGCGTGCGCCGAGTTACATCCGGCTCACCACGTCTAGGAGCTGGCTCAAACTGCAATTGAGAACGTGAACAAATAAATGCATGTGATTTGAACTTTAGTAAGGACAAGCATTAACCAATTATCATGTTTATCAATCTAAGTTGAAGCTTAAATGATAGGGATGATTACAAAACCTTACCGTCGAGGATAATCATTAAAAAGAAAAACATAATCCATCAATTTTATACAATGCCTTGATGCCTTTGAAGCACTTATTAACAATTATTCCTATCATGGATATTTAAGGACTGATATTTTAGTACTTGGTTGAGGTTTTGTGTGTGTGTGTGTGTGTGTGAGAGAGAGAGAGAGAGGGGAAACCTGAATGAAACTATGACCCTGAGAATCATCAACTTCCAGAATAGATGCCATGTTTCCACAGCGGTAACAATAATTGGGCGCACTAAAGATGGTAACGACCTTTTGGTCCTGAAACAAGATGCACAATTATCCAAATAAAATCCTAACATAAACAATTAACCGAGAAAAAATGAGAATTTTAATAATAATTACATGAGCCCAATTAAATCCCTCCATAACAAGCTGGTGAGCTCGAGCAATAAGCTTCAAGCCATTTGTATGGTTAAACTGCTCCGAAATGTCCTGTTAAATTCAATACAAATAAAGAATAGAAATTAGTAATAGTAATGACAATAATAATAAATAATAATAATAATTCCATATATCCAGCACAAACGATATAATAGTAATAATAATAATAGATAATAATAGTAATGAAGGAGTGATGTATCGGGGGATACTTGGCCAAATGTATATCCAGCACCCCTAGGAGAGATGCCCCAACCACATCGATCATCAGGATCGGACCATAAAAGATCACACATGGCACCCTCATGAGGAACTTCTTGGACACGATCAAAATTCCGTATATTGTCAAGAGTTTCAATGGACGGAGACAATCCACCGTGCAGGCAGAAGATCTCTGACTCAACCTAGATAAATTAAAATATGGTGTTACAAATAAGAACTTTGGAAGAAAAGATGAAAACCAAATATACAAATAAAAATAATACTGGAGCAGAGTAGTTGACTTGAGTCTGCATCATTTACCAATTGGTAGCGAGTGGCAATAGTAATTGACAACATTTTATAAATAAAATCCAAAATTCCTTAAGGTGACATTTTTTGAGCAATTATAATGCATGCAAGACTACAGAACCACAACGGAGAAACACTATTCGCAAACATTTGGAGGCAGAAAAATCATTTACAATTACGTCTGCATTAATGAGTTACTCATCATGTCCAATCATTTCCAGCCCTATTGCTAATTCAAATTCCATAGCACTGGAAATTAAATGAGGTTGCCGTTTTTCATTAAGCAAATGCACTCACCAACGCAGTAAGAGGAAAATAATCAAATAAATCTGTGAAGATCTTCCACACGTTTGCATTGCCATACCTGCAAAGTGCAACATCAGACCATATTTAGCTCACCCAGACACAGATATCACTGTAAACATTTTTTGCAAACAATAAAACAAAGAACTGATGGATGTGTAATAAATGAGGGAAAAAATTGCTATAAGAGCTGCTGCTGCTGCCGCTGCTTCCTTTTAGTACTGGAAGATAGTAAGAACTGAAGAACGTAAGTTGCTCCTATATCACCAATTTCATTTATTTCACAATAAAATATTAGGATTAAGTGATCCAGTTAATCAGGATTTTCTTGATCCCAGATAATGATCAATGGCATCAAAGAAGTTTTCCAATGGTTTTGAAGTAGTGCATCAAAAAATGTTATCCAAAATTATAGTTTTAGATGGCGAATGGAGAGGCAGGACAATTGGCCCATGGCCTCGCCTCGGGGTGAGGTGATTCGCCATGGCGAGGCCTCGGCTACCCAACTTACCAAAATGTAGAAAAGGCAATATTATAGATGGTACAACTATATATTTATGTTCAAATGACAAAAATAACATCAAATATCTTCAGAAAAGGCAAGAACACAAATGATTGTTATATTGGAAACACAAAACAACAATATAATAATTATTCTAATATTTGAAAACAAAAAAATTTAAAAAACAGAAATTAAACAAATAGAAATAGTCAAATTGATAAACTAAACATTAGACGCCTATTACTATGTTTAAGAGATTAAACAAACAAGAAAAACAGAAAATGATAAGTAATAAATTAAAAAAACATTTTCCAAAAATGGACTACACAGCGCAGATGAAAAATGAACTCCACAGTCCAAAAAATGGATTCCGTAGCAGCAGCTCGGTGGAGGTGAATGGTGGCGCTTAGTGGAGGTCAAATTTTGTGTAATTTTTCCCTCAGAAACCCTAGTTTTTCTGCGCTGTGTTACTTTGTTCGACACGACAAGCCCTTTCTTTTTGATTGTCTTCTCTTTCCACAATAAAAATGTTACACATTTTTATTTATTTTTAATTAAAACTATGTCCAAAATACCCAGTAAAGAACCATGGTTGAATGTCAAAAGCACAAAAGGTTAGTAAAAGAATTGGGTCTTAAATTTTCCAAGGGCAACACCAAGCAACTTTATAAATCCTGGATGGCAGTTACTTACTTTCTTAGGCATTCATCATAAAACCCATAAACCTGAGTAATCTGCATAAAAAACAAAAGGCCTTTTAGGACTAAAATATGATACTTGATATGTAAAAATATAAATCATTGCGATAAAATGTGAAAGAATCTTCTGAAATAACTTTCTATTAACATGTAACACACAACAGCCATTCCATGAAAAGAAAATTAAGAGAAGCCATACTCTGAGATAGTAACACAAACACATCCGACATAAGCAAGCAATAAGTTCAGACATTAAAAGACAAACATGCCAAATAACAAATGGATTTCATGCATTGTCACAGGAAAGCCAAAAGGAAACTAAAGATCACCTGGCGGCTTTCATGATTACCACGTAGAATCGTAATCCGTTGAGGATACCGCACTTTGAGAGCCACCAAGAGCTGAAAAGAATTTATACACTTGTCAAAACGACACAGCACTTACAATTCCATCAGTCGGCTCATATCAACGCATGGTAAAGTCAAAGACAATAATACTTCAGATAACTACAATTTCACATTTTATCATAAATTAGCTCATATTTTTTTCACTATGACCTTCATATAGATATCAATTACATAATTTATTATTTCAGATTTTTATTAACAATTTAGAGACTACAAAATTACCATTTACTAACAATATACGTCTAAAATATTAACTTGATATATATACATATACATAGGGTTAGAGCTGTTAAACGAGACGAGCCGCTCGTGAGCTCGCCTGGAGTTCAGCTAGGCTAATTTGATAAATGAGCCGAGCTCGAGCTCGAGCTCATTGAAAGCTCGTTCGTTAACGAGCTGGCTCAGCTCGTTAAAGCTCGAAAATAAGAATTTGTCATAGATATTTTATATAGTTTGACTCGTTAAGGCTCGAGTTCGCTCGTTAAGGCTTGAGCTCGACTCCAAAATATTGATAAACGAGTCGAGCAAGGGCTCGAGCTCGAGCACCATGAGCTCGAGCTCGGCTCGACTCATTTACAACCCTACATAGGGTGGGAGAGGAAAAGGAACAAAATAAAAGCGGTTACCACAAAATAGGCCAAATTCAAGAATAATATTTTACAATTACAAATATTATAAGATATATGGCAGTCTCTGAGAAAAAAATAAAATTGTATGTTATCTACTACATCTTATCCTTACATTCTTAATGGCAGTTGGCAGTAATAATACATATTTAAAGACACCATGTCGTTTGCGCCACAGTTTTCAAATCGGGATAGGTTTACACTTGGATTCGCTTTTGAGAATTTGACATCTACAACTTATAGAAACCTCACATTCAAAAGGCAAAAGAAAATATCTTTTATGAATAGCATTCATTAAAGAGATTCTGTACAGAATTCATAAAGAAAGAAGACCTTCAGAAGTAAAACCCACCGTTACTGTCTCGACAGAGTAGTATCCTCGATCAACATAATCCCCCATGAACAAATAATTTGTGTCAGGACACTGTGAATTCGCGAAAAAACCTTCATAAGTACATAATTCCACCAAATTCATATTTTCATAAGCAAGAAGAAAACATAATTACGTCATTACCTTCCCACCAATCCGAAAAAGCTCAGCAAGATCATGGAACTGCCCATGAATATCACCACATATAGTGACTGGGCTTTTTACAGGCTGCATCGAGAAAACAAATGACCAACTAAATGGTTTATAACGAGTGCAACTGGACATTGTCAATACCCATTGCATGTAGAAATCTTAATTATCAAACATAACAGCTCTACCCACAATTGTGGGAGAATGTACAATGGATGACCAAGAATTAGGCAAATTAATCCATATTTCTGTAAAAAAATAATTATGTAACATGAGTCGAACTGGCTTCCAAATTTCAAGTCGTAAGCTTGGAGTAAAAATTACAAAGGAATTCTCCTATTTATTCCATGTGACATCAATACTAAAAACCAGTCCAAGCAACTACATAAGGAATTCATTTGTTGCTCTCACGTGGAACACAAGCAAAATAATAACTTCTATATAGATATAAATGAGCTGCCATTTTCCTATGCAACCGATTTCTATATCAAGCCTGCAATAACACAAGATATGAACAAAATAGAAAGACCTGGACATTGCTCTCGTCCATAAGAATCTCCTTAGCCTTCTCGCATAACACCCGTACCTACAGACGGACAGAGCATCTTCCATAAGAAATCCTCCATAACAACAGAATGATAGAATATTACGATTTATAACAGCTGCAAAAACAATACCAAAGATAAAAACTAGGTTACAGAATTAACCAACCTCTGCACGTTTTGTCCAAAGAAAGTTAAGAACAGGGAAAATAAAGGTCACAGAGATGAAGGTACTAGCTATTTGACATATTAAAAAGTAATGGATGATGCAGAAAAAAGGAAAAAAGAGTTGCGGACTAATGAATGAAACAGGCAAACTGAAATAGCTAAAAATGACACATAAACAAACATGCCTTCACAGATCTGAAGCCGAAATTAATAGATCAAACTTAAACACCTACATTCGCGGACCACACAGAACCCTACACCAGATCACTATGTCTTGACCCAAACAAAGCGAAAGAGGGATTTCCGACAGGTAAAGAGATGCAAATATGCATGATCCCCACGCGAGACAGGTAAAGAGATGCAAATATGCATGATCCCCACGCGAGCAAGTTTTTCAGGAAACTCAAAAAAGAAAAAACTAATACGTGATTCAATAATGAGTAAAATCTACCTCTGGTTCGGACAAGGGTTTGCACTGCATGAGCTGAGCAATTTGCTCGTCGAGGTTCCCATTAGCTCCGCCGGCGATCGACGCCATCGTCGTATCCATCTGATGTGGAATCGACCTAGAATTTTGAGATTCCCCCCACTGGTACTGCTTCAACGACGTCGTTGCTAGTTAGATTTTTATTTCCTTTTCATTTTTCAGTTTGTAGTCTTCTCTATGTTTGGCTGCAGAGGAGCCAGGTGGAGGAACCGAAGAGTGAAGTGAGCGTGAATGACAACAATGACCTTACTTTGGATGTGTGTGATTAATGAATTGTAATATGAATTTTATATGCATATATAAATAAATATATTACTAGTGTTTGACACTAGTGTGTAATCTCTTAATCGATCGTCTTCTCAAGGCTCAGTGCGATCCTTGCCTTGGGACGTGGGACTTTTTCCCTTACTGTTGGAGGTCGAGGAGGTGGTATTGCTCTTTAGAAAGCCCTGTATAAGAAACAATCAGACAAGCAACCAATTTAGATCACAACAAATGAAATCTACTACAAATAAAAGGAAAGAGGATCAAGCTCAGCCAT